CTGGCTTTCTCCATAATCCAGCGCATGTTAGCAATTTGGTCTCTGGTTCCTCTGCCCCTTTGAAATCCAGCTTGTACTTCTGGGAGTTCTCAGTCCACATACTGCTGAAGCCTACCTTGCAGGATTTTGAGCATAACCTTGCTAGCGTGTGAAATGAGTGCAGTTGTACAGTAGTTGGCGCATTCTTTGGCACTGCCCTTCTTTGGGATTGGGATGTAGACTGATATTTTCCAGTCCTCTGGCCACTGTTGGGTTTTCCAAACTTGCTGGCATATTGAATGTGGCACCTTAACAGCATCATCTTTTAAGATTTTCAATAGTTCAGCTGGAATGCCACCACTTCTACTGGCCTTGTTGTTAGCCATGCTTCCTAAGGCCCATTGTACTTAACTCTCTAGGATGTCTGGCTCAAGGTCAGCAGCCACACTATCTGGGTTGTCTGGGTGCTGCATGTGTTACTCTCAAACTAACAGCAAATGGGCCAAGGTTTGACAAATTATCAGCATGCGTACAACATCAAAAAATCATGCTGTGCAAAAGCATGCCAAGTTGAGTATCCCGTATCAAAAATACATGCATATAATTATTTTAAAAGTTTCTATTAATTACCTGGGTTGTATTACTTTAATATTTGCTTCCATTTGCTAGAGTTAATGGTTATTTTTCAATAAAAAGTGTTTGTATCATTGAAAGTTCTGTTATGTTTTGAAGACAAAAGGTGATGATTAATTCAGAAATCTGTATGAGTTGTTTTTTCTAAACTAAAACATCAGTATTCAGATTTAATTGTAATGTTGGCCGTTCAAAAGAAATAATTTGGTTTTGTGTCGCCGTTTGGGCACTCGGGCTCAAAAAGGTTAGCCATCACTGGTATGGAGTTTTGCTAAAGTAGTCAAACCAATAACTAGTTGGGGGTTTTAGAGGCATAGCAAGCAGATTTCTGGGATAGGACAAACTGGATATCTTTCAGCCACCATCCACTGCTTCATTCCATGTACTTTGGCTGAGAAGAAAAAGGAAAAAAAAACCTCGCTCTCACTTCTTCTCATGAATTGCCTCAGTGGTCCATGGGAAGGGTAGTCTAGTGAGATGCTTCCTCGATAAAGTCTAATGCATAGAGAGGTCCCCTTTCTATGGAAACTGGGATGACTTTTAGGAAGCAGTGCGAGTGTGGAAGCATTACCTTGTTCTTCCCAGTTGATACATGTGAACAGTGGTGGAGCGACATTTTTGGGTCCCTGAAGCTTTAATTGTTATGGGAGCTTCTCTGCAACCAGCAATGAGGTCTCAGGAACCACTTTTATCTTCTTTAATGGGGTTTTCCCATGACAGAGCAGCACAGTTTTTAAAAAAATGTGAACTAAAGTCACTTCCGGGTTTAGGGGCCCTGAAGCATAAGCTTCAGTAGTTTCATAGTAGATCCGCACCAGCATGTGAAATGAAGCAGACAATGGCAGTAGATAGATATCTCTTTTGCCTTCTGGCTTCTCTCCTCCCAGATCAGAAGTCTACTTGGGGGCCTCTAGGCGACTTCTGGGATTGGAAGCCGTAGAATTCCAAAAGTTCTCATTTGTATCTAAAATGCCCAGGTTTGTTGTGATGTACCACACACTGTACCCCACTTTTTTTAAAGCTTGTATTGTCCTTAGTTTTATGACTAAACTGAATTCTTAGTGTCTGATAAGCCCATATTTGAAAGGGCTGTGTATTTTGGTTGGCTTTTATTTTTGCATTCATTCGTAAATTTTGAGACTTCCACTTCATCACAGATGCTCTATGCTTTTTTTCACAAGGGGAAACAAAAGCAGATGAAAATACAAACAAAGAAACATCAGAAGAAAAACAGGAAGAAGATAATGATTATCACAGAAGCGATGAACAGGTATTGTTTAAAAATGACCTTTGAATTCTAAAAATTAATGAGATGTATGCCCAGGTTTAGAAGTGGCAGAGATAAAATCCTGGCTAGATAGATCAGTGGGCTTGCTATTTTAAGGCAACTTCATATGGATTTAAAGGAATACTGTGTGAATCAGAGTAACATTGGGGCATGTGGCTATTTAATTGATAGGCTGAATGAAAGCTGCCTCTTAGTTCCTGTGGAAAGTCTGAGGGACTTTCAAGGTGCAGTATTCTACCCGCTAAGTGCCTAGCACATTTTTTTACTTAACCATCCAAATGCCACTATCACACAACACTTTTTCTTTTGATAGTGATGGGTAGAATTGCCACCAACAAGCAAATAATCTGCACCAGTTTTGTGGAAAACAGCAAATAATGACTCTGATGTGTAGAATTAGCTTGCCTCCTTTTAACAGATCTATTTAATCCTATAATTCCTAGAATCCCCAGCCAGCACAGCCGCTAGCCTTGCTGCCTAGGGGATTCTATGTTTTGTAATCCAAAAAAGTAATGTTTGAAGCCCTGTTCATGAGTACATCTTTAGAAACAACCCAATAGTTTGAGGTATATATCTAGTTTCTGTCAGAAAATGCAACCCTTCTCTCAGAAAATTGTTTCAGTTGTACATGTTTTGGTACTCACATGTTCATTTCTTTGGTTTGCGTTGGAACAACGCAAACAAAAAAGAAGAAAAGTCAAATCTGATAGAATCCCACACAGAAACCCAAAAATGCACTGGCCAAAATTATTGGCACCCTTAACTTAATATTTCGTAGCATCCCCTTTGGAAAAAATAACTGTAACCAATATTTTTGGCCATCACTGTATATAAACCTGTCTGATCACTAAGATCTGCTGGGGAAGCCCTGGTCCATGTGCCACCATTAAGAACAGTTTGTTATGTAGAGACATTGGGAAGGATTTTTTTCTTCTATAGCACTTCAACTGTAGAATGCCCTCCCTTTGGTGGTTCAGTTGGTGCCAACATTGGCATCATTTCAGTACCAAGTCAAGATGCACTTATTTATTAGAGCCCTTGCCGGTTGAGGAATGTGGCTTTCCCAGGTTTTAGGCTATGTTTTTAATCTTTGAATGTTTTCATTTTGTGTTTAATTTTAAATTGTTTTGAAAATCTTATGTTTTAAAAATGTTTTATACAGTTTTGTAACCCTCTCTGAGATCATGTGATATAGGCTGGGGAGGGAGGGAGGAAGGAAAACTGTTTTGTATTGGGTTAGGCTACAGCGGTGCCTTGATTTACAACCATAACCCATTCCAGAAGATCGGCATAACTCGAAATGGTCGTAAATTGAAGCACCATTTCCCATAGGAATGCATTGAAATTCAATTAATCTGTTCCGGCTGAATAAAAAAAATCACAAAAAAATCACTGCAAGACTTATTGGAAATGCGATTAATCCCTTCCGGCCGAAGATGGGGGGGGGGCAGAAGCGAATAAGCATGCAAGACCCATTGGAAATGCACAGAAAACAAACGGAGCAGATCGGAAATGCACAAAGAGCAAAGGGGGCAGGTCGGAAATGCAAAGAAAACAAAAGAAAAAGCAAGGGAAGAATGTAGGACCCATTGGAAATGGGGAAACCCCCTGCAAAAAGCAACCAAACCCCCCAAGACCCACCAAAAATGGGGGGAACAAAAAACCCCACAATCAAACCCCCCAAGACCCATCAAAAATGGGGGGAGCAAAAAACCCCACAATCAGACCCCCCAAGACCCATCGGAAATGGAGGGGAAAACCAAAAAGCAACCAAACCCCACAAGACCCATCGGAAATGGGGAAAAAACACTCCAAAAAGCAATAAGCCCCACCAGACCCATCAGAAATGGGGGGGACCCAAAACAAACAAACCCCCCAATCACAGCACAGAAACATAACCCCCAGCTCAAAACCATGCTGCAAAAACACCCAGAACAGTTTTTTAAAAGCAGAAAACAGTACCTTATCTTACCAGGCAGCCCGAAGCCTCCCTGCAAACACACGCATGCGCTCACTCAGAAGCAGAAGGAGGCAGTCCCAAGCCTCCTCCGATGCACACTCTGTAACTGCTGGTGCGAAAGAGCTACAAAGAAGCAGCCTCATCGCCATATACAGTTAGCAATTTGAATTTCCCGCCTTTTTTCCCTGCCTTTTTCTGTTCGTAAGTAGAAGCTCCAGTAACAATAGAAGCAAAATTTTGCGGCCAGAACTGATTGTAACTTAAAATGGTTGTAAGTAGGGACGTTTGTAAGTCGAGGCACCATTGTATTTGTTTATCTAATCCAACATTGTTTATTCTGCCTTACAGCTGTTCAGTAGGGCTTAAAATAGAGGTGTCTCCCATTGTCTGCTATCAGATCGTTTTTTTAAATTGAAAATGCAGAAACTGAACCTTCTGCATTAAAAGCTTGTGCTGTACCATTGAAACCTCCTTTTTGTGTATGATCCATACTTGCATGGTTCAGAGTGCTCACCTCTCTGATTTTGCTGTTATGAAAGAAGAGCCTCCTCTTAACTGACCCTGGCTGTTTGCTTCCCCCTTAAAGGTAAGCATCTGTTTGGAATGCAACAGCAGCAAATTACGTGGACTGAAGAGAAAATGGATTCGCTGCTCAGCACAAGCAACAGTTTTGCATCTAAAGAAGTTCATTGCCAAAAAGCTTAATCTTTCTTCATTTAATGAGGTAATTAGTCAATTTGCATTTTTTACAAAGTAGAGCAGAACATACAGTTGGATTTTCATTGTCTCATAACTTTTAAAAAGTATAAATGACATAATCTTAGAAATGTTTTTCCCTTTAAGACTAAAGTATATTTTCTATCATCTAACTAAATAGCGAGTAGTAGCATTTTGAAACAGCCCTTTAAAGGGGATGTCAAAATTTGGTTTAGAAACTTTCAGTGTCACTTTTTATTTATTCTTATTTTATTAAATATTTTTTAACGTTCCTTATCAGAAGATGTCATGGTGGAGCACAATCAATGAAATAACTTTAAAAATGAACTAGTTGAACTTTTCTGATCTTTCTGACTTTCTGCTTCAATCATCTATGTCATTAATGAGGCACAGACATCTAGGGTCTTAAGTAGAAGCTTGTGCTAAGCTACATTCTTCCTCAGTGACTGAAGTCCCCCAAACAGCCAGGACCTTTTCTTTTGGCTTTTCTTTGCATTTGAAAATTGCTTTGAAAACAGAATGTGCACTGGCAGGATCCTGATTTAAGCCTTTGCATTTGTTCTTAAATATATATGTGGTTTGTAATTGTGAGCATGCAAACATTTGATCCATCTGCTTCAAAACTAAGTTCTGGTAAATCAGTATCTGCTACAGCTGCCTTGCACTTAAGATGAAATCATGCTTCTTCTTTGTGGTCTCGGTGAATGCACACTAATGAGTTTTATCTGTGCCTGCGCAGAGGTTTACAGAAGCTTCTAGAGATTAACACTGTTTGCTAGGGCTGCCTCCCAGTACACGTGGTCCACCCATCCTGGCAAGTGCCTCAGTTCCTTTTTGCCGCCACTGAGGTTTCTTCTCTTCGATGAGCTCTTCTTGCTATTGCATCAAAAAGGAATCTGTGAGAGACTTTGTGCCTTTTTTCTCCTCTCCACCGCCCCCCTAAACACTCTAAACCATCTACAATGCCTGCAGTACCGCAGGAGGCCACATCAGTACAGGCTACTACCACTTATACTGGCCCTTCCCTTATACCAGACGAGATTACACAATCCTATCATTCTCACTGTGCGAAGGCTCAACATACTGCTCCTCGAACCTCAGTTACCAAACGGAAATTTCCCAAGTCGAAACCTGTACAGATTGCAGCATTAGATGATGAACCCTCTCCATCTCAGACCTCATTGTGTGCATTCTCTGATACTGATGCCTCAGATTCCTTTCTACCCCCTGAGTCACTGCCGAATTTGCCAACTCCGGACTCTGATGTTGGGGATACAAATCCTCCTTCTCTGTTGGAGGGTTTTGCATCTTACTCTGCCAACTCCGGACTCTGATGTTGCGGATACAAATCCTCCTTCTCTGTCGGAGGGTTTTGCATCTTACAACTAGATCTACGCATTGTTAAGGCAATGGACTTAGATGTTCATTAACCAGTGCAGTCCGAGTCTGACAAAATCTATGGGAACATTAACAAAGACGATCTACGCATTGTTAAGGCAATGGACTTAGATGTTCATCAACCAGTGCAGTCCGAGTCTGACCAGACCCCTCACTTCGTATGGAGTTTATTCCATCTCTTCTTAAACTGATTAAGCAAACATGAGCTACGCCATCCTCGGTCCAACAGATCTTGAGATGAGTCAAGAACCTATATAAAACTCATGTGAGAAGATTTTGCCTTATTTAGATTGTTAAGGCAATGGACTTAGATGTTCATCAACCAGTGCAGTCCGAGTCTGACCAGACCCCTCACTTCGTATGGAGTTTATTCCATCTCTTCTTAAACTGATTAAGCAAACATGAGCTACGCCATCCTCGGTCCAACAGATCTTGAGATGAGTCAAGAACCTATATAAAACTCATGTGAGAAGATTTTGCCTTATTTAGATAATAGTATCCATAACTGCCTTTGTTGTGATCCATAGGTAAATTGTGTTATTTACCATGGCACAGGTTGTTGTGATCCATAGGTAAATTGTGTTATAAGCCCATGGCACAGGCTTAACGCTTGCCCCACATTACGACGAATCCACCTTACGACGATCTTTTTGTGATTGCAATTGCGATCGCAAAACGATGGTCTAAATGGGGGAATTTCACTTAGCAATGATCGGTTCCCTGCTTTGGGAACCGATTCTTCGCAAAGCGATGTTTTTTAAATAGCTGATCGGCGGTTTCAGGATGGCTGTCGGGTGCTTAAAATGGCTCCCCGCTGTGCTTAGGGACGGATTCCTCGCTATATAGGCAGCAAAAATGGCTGCCGTATGGAGGATCTTCGCTGGATGGTGAGTTTTTACCCCATTGGAACGCATTGAATGGGTTTCAGTGTGTTTCAATGGGGCTTTTAATTTAGCTTTACAATGTTTTTGCTTAATGGCGATTTTCCTGGAACGGATTATCGTCATTAAGTGAGGCACCACTGTATGATCAAAACCAGACAAAAGTACCAATAGAGCAAAAAGAAAAAGTAAAGTTATCGTCAGATGTATGCAGACAGGATGCCAATACGCTGCATGTGTGGGAACTAGTAGTTTGCATTGCTATGGATACATGAAGAGCTCTAGCCTTTATTAAGTATAGGAGGCTTTCAGATTAAAAGCAGCCATGCAGTCAAAATTGACTGCCAGGCATCTAATGAAGCATTCTTAATTGCAGTATCCTGCCCTATTCTGTTGTTTTGCTGTTTCTAATTACTTGTGTCCTGGATTAGATACCTGGAAATGGACTGTGTAGATCTTGCCTTCCTAGGTATTTATTTATTTACTAGTTACTATCATAGACAATTAAGAGTCAATTAAAGACTTGGCTCTTTAGGCAGGCCTTCCCTCCTGTCAATACTTGACTTTTATTTCTTACTTTTTTGTTTATATTTTCCCATCTTGATTAATACTTTATTGTCGATTTAATTGTTGTATTAACAATTTTGTGAATAATTTTATTTGTAAGCTGCCCTAAGTAGACATTGTCTAGAAGGGCGGGGCAAAAATCTAATAAATAAATAAAATAGACAATTTTCATACTGATTCCTATCTGGAACCAAGTCATACACTTTTTAGCTGTGTGTCACATAATCAAGAACATATTATGAGCCAACATCTGATTTTTCTAGATAGCAACAAATTGCAGTGTGGTATTTAAAGCCGGAAGCAGTGTGTCTAAGTGTATTTGGGATATGGATATGGATATGATATGTCTGTTATGTTTGTTATGCAATGAGTCCTATTGCTTGAGGCTTGAGTTCTTAATGAGTTTGATGTCAAAGGTTTATGTTTAGTTTTATGTTCCTCAGAATCTTGTTGAGATTATTTGAATCAATGTCTGTATTTCTGTCTCCCTGGAAACTAGCATTCAATTTTTAGGCCTTTACTTATTGTCCTGTACTTAATTTATTGTGATTTTACCTGTTAATCTGACAAAATATTTCTGTTTTTATTAGCTGGATATATTATGCAATGAAGAAATTCTGGGCAAGGACCACACTCTCAAATTTGTAGTTGTTACAAGATGGAGATTTAAGGTATGCTTAAGATCAATTGTTTCTTCTAACATTTTGGACTGAATCTCCAGTCTGCTACTTTGTCACATATATCAGGATGGTTAGCTGATAGCATTTGGGTTTGATTTGTTGTGTCCTTCATTGCTCCCTGCATGAGGCTGGAAATTGTGCATCTTTCTCTTCCCCTGTTTTACTTGGCCAGTGTCCAGCCCAATGCAAATGAAGAGGATTCTTCAGAGGTGTGTGTACTGTTGGGCAGTGTTTGAAGTACAGTAGGATCCCCTTATCCACGGTTTCAGTTGTCTGAGGATGCGGCTGCTGCATCCCAGCCTGCAGTGTGCATGCGCACACTGCACTAATACATGTGCACTTACCTCATGTTCCGTCATCCCCCCCATGTATAGTAGTGAATGGGATCTCTACTCATTGCTGTTTCAGGCATATGTGGAGGTCGGGGCTTGGAACCTATTCCCTGCAGATATTGGGGGGGGGCCTACTATATTGTCCTTTTGGGGACAGACAGTGGTGGAGCATGTGCTGAATTCTCGAAACTGCGGAATCTAGTCTTAACCAATGTTTCACAGGCAACTACTTTGGAGCTGTAATACTAATAATACAAATACCAACAACAACAACAACATACATACATAATGTGCCGATATTAAATAGATACTTAGATTTTTGGTTAAGGAGTGTGTCTGTTATAAAATACCAGTCAATGATTTTATAATTTTGATTGACTGTACCTGGTATCTTTGAATAATATATTTATATTGCACTCTACACCAGAATGCATTCCAGTAAAATCAATAAATATAAAAACCTAACACTGAATGTATTTATTTATTTTTTCAGTTTATATTCTGTCCCATTATTGCAAGCATGACTCTGGGCAGTTTACAAGATTAAAACTTTTTTTAAAAACAACAACATAAAAATGCATCAAAAAGCTATATAGGAGCCTTCCAACACAGTGGTTAATTTGCTGTACTACAGCCAAAACTGCTCACAACCTGGGGTTCTATCCCGGGTAGCCAGCTCAAGGTTGACTCAGCCTTCTATACTTCTGAGGTCGGTAAAATGGATACCCAGCTTGCAGAGGGGGAGGGCAATGTGTAGCCTGGGTAATTGAAAACCACCCATAGAGTTCTGTAAGCACTATGGGGCAATATATAAGCAGCATGCTTTGCTTAAAAAAAAAAATACGGTGTTACACAGATATTTTTATGTCCACCCACCCACTCAAATATATAAAAGTCCTTGGAGTGGGCAGTGATCCAAGAAGAATTAAACCAACTACTAACAAACTAGTTTAAAAGTACAAGTAAACATAGTGATGCCAACAACTTTCCTGGGGAATTCCCCCTTCCCATGGCAGACACATTAGTGGTTTAAATTGATGACATGTTCAAAACATTGGGATCCCCTTCTCCTTCTCTTGTATTTTGCTTCAGGTTGTGATTACCATAGCTTTTTCCTTCAAGTAGGTATATCATTTTATCTTTCAGAAAGCACCTCTACTGCTACATTACAGACCCAAAATGGACTTGCTGTAAGAACTATTTTGTCCTTCTGGACGGTTTTTTGCAGAGACTATCGTTGGGCACCTTCTTAGTGCGACATGCAGTTCACCTGTGACACAGACCAGCAGAATCCATTTCTAAAAACAGGAGTGCTATTCCATTCAGCCATCCTGAATATTTCTCCGAGGGATGCATTTACCCAACTTTCTGGATAGAAAATTATTTATACTTTTTTCTACAAAAAAAATTAAATAAAAAATAAAAAATAAAGGAAATTGCAGCTTGAGAGGACGCTACCAGCATGAAGTTTACAGACACTGAAAACACTTCACAGTTCTCCGTATGAGCTCAGTTCTTGGTCACCATCTTGCAAAAATGCAAAGTAGGTTTAAGATGATGTGACAGAGATCATTTTGTATTTTTTTTGGTCACTTAAAAATCCTTGGGTTGCATCACAAATCAAAGTAACTATAGCTTTTTTGTTATTTGTAAGGTTTTCTGTTTCTTATACCTCATGGCATTTTTTTCTGTTATTTAGCCCTTTGTAGATTTTTTAACATGGACAAAGATATAACGGTGGGCAGTAATGTTGCTCCGTGACACGATTCTAGATTAACCCCTATTGTTCCTCTGCTGGCTCATCTCATTGAGGTTCCTGGATGAGTTTTAATTCCTTCCATTTTGTTGAAAAATTTCAGCTCCTGGCAAATGGCTGAATGTTTAGAAAGAACCTTCATTTGGGGTGTATGTGGCTTACATAGGTTGTGGGGTGGTGGTATTGGACTCGGGGTGAGATTTGCCTTTCACTAAATGAAACAAGCTGTTGGCAGCCTTAACTACTTGAACTCGAGTATTGTTTCTTTGAACAGCAAACTCAACTAATGCACATGTGCATTCATATACTGACCTTTCTGCTGGGTTTTGGGTTTGCCCAAAAAGAACATGGTGTTTTCCTAATTCACTAATGAACCATCTCTATATGGTCAGTTTCATACATTTTGATTTTTTCTTCTTTGAAAAAGTCCACCCCTTAGGGAGGCTTTGTCCCCTCTTAACTATGTAAGTGCCACCCTTCCAGAGAGAATAGCTTTAAAAGGTAAATGCTGCTCTCTTTTAAGTGTTTTGAGATTTTTATTTAAAACACAAAAAGTTCTTATCCAGAGGTGACTTCTCAAGTTTGCACCATACAAAAAAATGGTAATAGGACAAAGGATCTGTCCTCCTTCACTGATAATGGGCATGTTTTTCCTTCTGGAGCTGTGTCATTATTTTAAATGGTCCAGCATGGACTGCACCCAAGAACATGCACACATGGGTACGTGTGTGCACACACAAACACACACATTGTTGCATGCATCCCTCCATACTGGCATGACATCTGTGTCTCTCTTCTCCATGTGCACATACACACGCAGAGGCATGTCTATACTCTGCATGGGCACAAATCTGCCTTCTTTCAGGCTCCAACTTGGTTGGCGTTCATACAAAGCAAGGAGGAAACTGCTTCCCCAAATGGTGGGCCAGAGAGTATTCTTCTTTCTTTTTGTTCTGTTTCTGAAGGATATTGCCTTCAGTGAAGTCTTATTCCTCTCTGTACCTTATAGTGGGTGTGTATGTGTCCATTTGGGCCCCCTGGGGTGCAGGGAGCAGCCAGATAAAGGTCATGGGCAGGCTGTGTTGCAGAGAGACCAACAGGAAGGTGAGGAGACTTGGCAGAAGGCCTTTTCTGCTTTGAGAACTGGTTCCTGAATCTTGAATATCCCTAACCTATAGAAGATTGCCACTCTTTGCTATTTGTTTTTTTTAGCACTGTTCTTCTGTAGTAAAGGGTGAGGGCAAACAGTTTTCAATTTTGGAACAAGTTCAGGCAGGATACAAAGAGAAGATACGTGACTGGGGTGTGGCCCAGTTAACAATCCCTAAATAATATAGATGCAAGGAAGGAAATAAGTGCATTATCAAGTAAATACAAATGTGAGACAGGGATCTGACATTTTGTCTTGTTGGGTGATTTTGAAATCAGTTATCCCTATTTATTCATTTCAGTTAACATTGATTTGGAGAAATTCCCAATAGGTCTCATGTTTTCAAATGTCACACTAGACACTCTGATTCCCTTTGGACAGAAGGAGATGAAAGAGTTTCCTTTTCTAGTTCTGCAGTGTTCCATCAGCGTGAGCTGCTTTTCCAAATCCTCCTCCTTTATGGCAGTTTCTCTTGCTTCTCCTACCCGCACATGGAGTATGTTGGGAGCCATTCTCTGCAAAGGAAGCTCTGTAACACACACACACACACACACACACCGATCACTAAGAACTTGATGGCTAGATGTTGGGAGCCATTCTCTGCAAAGGAAGCTGTGTAACACACACACACACACACCCCCCGATCGCTAAGAACTTGATGGCTAGGAGGAGTCCAGTGACTAGAAGAGGGAGGTAATAGGAAATGTTGGGATGACTATTCAAGGTTTGGCTTAGAATAAAAAGGAGGAAAACAGTAGAAGGAGAAAAGACATTGGGCACTCTTCTAAAGAAAGTTATCCTGCCCATGCTCTGTTGAAATGAACAGGAGTTATGAGGCTTACATTAAATGTTAAGGACATTCATTCATGTGTCCGGTGACTGCCTCATTGACATGAATGTGACTATACAAATGTTCCTGGGCCCTTCTGTTCCAGTGCCACATGCACAGGATAGCATACCCTTGGATAAATGCTCTTAAAATATTGTTACTTTCTAGCTCTTAGTAAAGACTTCTCACAGTAAGCAGTGGTTTATTTCATGGTAAGTTCTTGCTTGCCATAGTACAGAAAGTATCTTCAAAAAGAATATATATAAATTAGTTAATGGGAGAGTTTAGTTTTGTGAAGTTTGAAGGACTATAAGGGATTATATTGGACACCATCAATCCTGCAGCCTTAAATATCAGGGTTTTCTTTTCCCAAATTTACACGCCACATGGTGCTATTTGAAAATGTATTGACTCACACTGCTCAGTGAACCTTAAACTTGGTAACCCTGTCCAATACCCACTTGATTCAGCTAAATATTTGGAAGGTGTTATGGCTATATACAACTATTCAGTCTACCTCAGACTAGATACACAGCTGAACTGTAAGATCAATGCCATTATGAAACAGAAAGTACAAACACTATCCTGTGTAGTTTAAGCTGAGGGATTTAATGATATCAAGATGCCCCACAACTCTTGACTGCAACAGTCTACAGAATCTGTATTGCTAAGTTTCTAGCAAATTTTTAAATCACTTGAATTTGATACGGTGCTATATTAATATATTTAAAATATATATCTAGTCAGGTGCATGAAACCAAAGCCAGCTATTGACATCTAAGCTGGTTTTGTTACTCATAAATGAGTAGTTATCTCAGCTTTTATAACAGCCTGATGAAAACAACCTTGGCATAAAATACTGAAATTCTCTCTTCTCCCCCTTTTTTAAAAACAGCTTCTTGGAATATTTCTTTTTCTATGGAAACTGTGTCCCTTGGGGTTTGATTGTTTCAGAGACCTGGCTAGCTTGTTTTATCGAGAGGGGGGAAAAACCTACAGCAAATACCAACAGAGCAGATCCTTGTGATATATATTGTCTCTCTTCTATGAAGCTTTTAAGGGGCAGGTTGCACAATGGTTATGTTGGCAAAGACATTCTGTTGATCTTTCTGGTTTTAGGTCTTGAAATCATATTCAGCTTAAGTGGCTTGAGCATGCCCAAGCCACCATTAAGTTTATCTTGATTGATTATGTGATATATAAAGTAACTGTGAAGTCTTTTTTTTTCTTTGTTTCCTTTTTTAAAAAAATGACTGCTTACCGCTAGTAAATAAATGCAGTAAAATGTCTCATCGCATTATCCGCTGCAACAAAGAGATGAGTGTAACAATGCAAGTTCATGATCTTGCTTGGTATAATTTTCTTTTAAAATAGAGAAATCAGAATATATAATATTGAATTTTAAATAAGATTTTTTGGGGGGTTAAAAGTTAACTTTATAAAATTATTTATTCTATTTTAAGCCTTCTATCTTACTTTTTACCATCTAAGTATTTTTTTGGTTTTAATGGTCCAGCTTTATTTATGGGCATATAAAATGAAATTGTGAGATGTTTTTTACAAGCTTCTTCCTTCTTTTCGTGAGGGCCAGATTAAATGTTGTGCTAAATAAGTGGTTGCTAACAAAAGGGACAGCTGTATATCTAGGCATCCTCACTCTTTCATAATGTCTGGCACAGCTTACCTGTAGCCCAGTATCTGTCACTTTTATATGTCAGCCAATAATGTGGAACAAACAAATTGAGAATGAATGCTGTAACCAGAGTCTCAGGTAAACTGTACTAGATGTGACAAGATGGTTAGTGGGCCAGTACAGCAGTTACTGTGATGGTGGCAGCTACTTATTAAGAATAACATTTAGTATGTCCCTGTTTGATCTTTTTTGTATGTTTTTATTTTATATGGATACAGAGCATTACTTTATGCTTCTTGTGCAATAGGTTTGAAACATGCTTTGTTAGGAATACATTTTAAATGGTAAATGTAGCATCTACTAACCACAGATCTGAAAAGGAATGTAGGTGGTATTAAGTGTACATTCAGATGTTTCTCCCCTTGTTCTTCCCTCTTCCCTTCCTCCTCTACGTAAATGTAGCATCTACTAACCACAGATCTGAAAAGGAATGTAGGTGGTATTAAGTGTACATTCAGATGTTTCTCCCCTTGTTCTTCCCCCTTCCCTTCCTCCTCTACTATTATTATTTTTATTATTATTATTATTATTTTTAAGAGTGATATTTGGGGTTGTGGCTATGCGCAGGAACTACCTGTCAGCAATATTTTGGAAAAAAAAATGGTTTGGCAAGAACTCTTGAACATGAAATGTAGAAAGAATTGGCAAGGCTTGCAGCCTATCAGAATATTTTGCTGTGCCATTGATACGTCTGGTATTTCTCTCTTATTTGTATACCACTTAACCTGGAAATTTCTGTTTCTTAGCAATTGTGCAATGCTCCAGATGCAAACTTTAAACCTCTGGGGAAAAATACAAATAGTTTTAAAATATCAGACTACAAAATGTGATGGTGCTAACTTGTTTTCCTCAATAGTATTTGAGCCTTTTGAAAGTTTACCTGGCTATTATTGTTTTCATAACAATCTAATTAGTCTTGGGAGATTCACTGTCCTGTTTCTTTTCTAATGGGTGACAGATCTACTAGGAACGTTAGCCTATTTGCAATTATTTAAACCGAGCTGCAAGTTCAAATGCAACAGGAGAAAGCCAACCAGTTTGTACATCTACACAATGACTCTTTGATAACTTTGTATTGTAACCAGTTAATAAGAAATGCATTTACTGTAGACAGTTAAAACTGTATTTTACAGAAAAATTCTGTTTCTGTATTTCCTCAGGTAATTGCTCTGGTTTTAAATATTTCACGTGATACCTTAACTCAGCATATATTTGTCTGTGTGGCCTCCAATTTTAAATGTCAGAAGATGAGGCACACAGGCAGGCCATTGCATGCCAGAACTGCAAATGGATACATTCACCTTTTAGTCAAAATGTGCACAGGGAACACAGCATTTTTCTTGATGCGTAACTGTTGGCTTGGATGCACACTTTCTCCTTGAAGTAGGAAGTGGTGATGAAATACACCTTCCCCAGGAATTTGTTTCTAACCCTAAAATCGGCTGTTGTCACTTGACTTTCTTCCCTTTTCACGGAACAGAAACTGTGTCCTAAAACTGGCTTACAAAGGTAGTTACTACATGTTTGGTAGCAGATCTGACTCGAGGTTTTTGCCAAGCAGCTATAAATTAGCAGATACAAATTTGCAGTGGAGGCACTTAAGCATTGCCCGCACATTCTGCTTGTCTGTGCAGTGCAGCAAAGATGTATTCAGGCAAGGGCTGGGGAGGGGAGAAAAGCAGCTGTGGGAATGTTATAACAACAGTTAGTACTGCAGCATCTTTGAGACCAAGAAGTGTTGTTTGCCATAAAATTGCTTTGGCTGCCACCCACATCTTCAGATGCAACTAAATGGGCTATAGTCCTTTGAAGAGTATGGCAAATAACATCTGTTAGTCTCAGAGATGACATAGGATTCTTTGCTGGTTTTGCTGCAACAGACTAACTTGGCTATTGCCTATAAAAAATCAGCAGAAATGTTAATAATGTTCTCTCACCCACCTACCACTTGCTTATTGACAAAGGCTCTCTTGCTCCACTTCTTTGCTGTTCTTTGGCAGATACCTGGGTTTCTAGATCCAGGTCTGTTGCTGAATGTGTAGTTTGGCTAGATACATTTATTTAGAATTCTGTTGATGCCCACAAGGCATTGTACTGATTGAGGATGCTTGTGCATGGGCACACTTACTTACATGAGGAAGGGTAACTGAGGTACACTGAACCTACCCAGACCCTCCTTAAAAGGCAGTGACTGATATAACAGCCAGATGACAGGACAAGAGTTAAGAATACCATTCATTTGCAGCAAGATAAATTTAGGGTTATGGAACAATAAGCCAGTGCAGCCGTTGAAGCCTTTATCCTCACTATGTGGCATAATAAAGTTACTGAAAATTCTTGCTGTAATTTAAAAACAAAATCATATTTTTGGCTTGGTTTCATTTGAAAGTTTACATTTTTTAAAGCTTTGTGTTGCTGTGTAACTTTTGTACTATTGGTGGCTAGTTTTTGTCTGAATAAACCTTTTGCGGGATTATTGCTTAATGTTTTGATTTTATGATAGTGAAGCTTGTATTCAGTGTTCTGCCAATTAATATTATATGCTTGTAATAAAAGCCAAAAAAACACACACACCGTTTCTTGCCTGTTTTTTTTAGCATATGAATGTTTAGCTGATAGAACAGTGGTTCTTAACGTGGGCGATAATGCCCAGTGGTGCGCGATTTCATTAGTGTAGGAAACGAAGTGGCTGTACAGTTGATAGTGGACTATCACCGCGGGGAGGGGGGTGATGATAACTTCCTCAATGGCTCAAGGGGGCGTTTCTTTCAAAAAGGTTAAGAACCACTGTGATAGAACATGCTCTGGTATGAGTTTGATAATAGATAGTGGTGCTGGAGGACACGCTTGAGAGTCCCCTGGAGTGAAAAAAACCCAAACCTATCCATTTTGAAAGAAATCAACCCTGAGTGTTCCCTGGAAGGACAGATCCTGAAACTGAGGCTCCAATACTTTGGCCATCTCATGAGAAGAGAAGACTCCCCGGAAAAGACACTGTTCTCCTTTGTATCCTCTGTGAATACACACTAATGGGTTAATCTGCGGCTGAGCAGAGC